AGGACTTTCCGGATCGGACAATGACGGCATCTTTAATGTCCTTTTGCCTCATGGAGTATCATTTTGGACCAGGTGCTGACTGAAAGGGCCCAGATGTGGAGCGGTGTTACCTCCCTCGCATCGGCGATGACGGATCTCGCCGTGGCGCAGTGGAGTCTCGGTGTCCGATGTGTGTTGACAAAGTTGCACAAGAGAATGACGATGTTTGGCGTAGTGGTGACGTTGACGACAGGCCTGGCAAGGTCGATGTGTCAGTACCTGCTTTAAAGATGGATCGGCGGAAGACGACGGCGGCCTCTGAGAGTGCGTCGGACCGGTGTGTGCTTGGTCGCAGCCTCCGGTTTTAGATGTTAGGCTTTGGTGGAAGATTTGTTTGGTATTCAGTTCGGACTATCGGCACCCCTTTATCAAGTGGATAGGAGTAGCGATAGATGTTGTCTAAATGATGGCTTCAGACTTACTGATGCATTACTTTTGTAAGGTCTTTTTGAATAATTAATGAAGTGGTTGCATGCATCACCAGATGCAGAGGCCGAGGTTAAGACTAGTCACAATGGATTACTAGTCTATGTTACTAACTCTATAGTTGGGAGTAACATATGTGTGGTGTCATGCAACACTTTATTTATTATGTCGTAGACTCATCTTGTCTTAATATGTGTGATGTTAATTACAGTAACTAGCTATGTTACCACATGCGACTCTTTTCTCATTAATTACTCGCACATCATCTGTTTTGCCCAGAGATGTGTGATGTTACCACCTATGTTACTCCCACTGTAGATAGTCTTAAAAAAGACATTGCGGCAAAAAGAAAGGCATTTACATGGTCACACAAGTACTCATCCTCTATTAAAAAACAATGAAATAGCTCATTTACACAACACCACCCAAAGTTTTGGCAATTTCGGTAGCCAGTTGTCAACCAACTGTTGGTATACTAGAGGGACCCCTACGGGAGAGGGGCGGGACAATGGCGGGCCCATGTGAAAGTGACAGGGGAGGCAACGGCCGAAATATGCCAACCTTCAAGGCGACAAATTTGACAATTTTAACTTGTTGATGAAATCATCTCACAAAATGAATTGCCCCTAAAAAATATTCACTCAACTGGCCTTTTTGAGTGGCGCTCGGCACGAAGGCGCCACAGTATACTGTGCAGCACCTGACTGATAGGCATTGCACGCCTAGACAGCGTCGCACCCAGGTGATTCGAAAATTATTAAGTCGGTGTGCAACGTCTAGCGTCTAGGCGTTACACTAGTGGTTGCTTCATTTTATAGTGGTAGATAATGCAACCACTAGTGCAATGCTAGAGGCTAGGCGCTACACTGTATAGTGTGGCGTCTAGCTCTTAGGCGCTGCACATTGACTTAGTAATTTTTAGACAGTCCGGGATGCGACGCTGGCCAAGCGTGTAGCGCCTGTGAGTGAGGCGTTGCATAGTGTAGTGTGGCGCATTCGTGTCGGACGCCACTGAAAAAGGTCAGCTGACTGAATCAGTTCATTTTGTGAAATGATTTCATCCATAGATCAAAACTATCAAATTTGCCCTTCAAGGCTACCCTACAATACACGCAGGTGTGAAATTCCTTTGTGTGTCCGTGTATTTTACCTCCGAATGGAGCTAGTAGGGTACGTCGCGGTCCCTGTACCTCAGTATGTGTTTTTGGAGAAACCCTCTCGCATTTGCAGAATTTCCCGTGGTCTCTTCTTTCTAGATGCGGGAGTAATGAGACATTTTACTTTCTGTTCTTTTTTTCCGGCAACGGCGGGTCCCTGGTAGGCGTTGCTTCACTGACTGGCTGCGCCCTCCAGAAGCACGGTGAGAATCGGTGATCATCATGGATAACAACCATTGTGCTTCCCTCGCCCAAATCTCAAACCTCATCGCCTGGTACGTGGCCATGTGATCTTATTAGCATACTGATGCTACTTAGTTTACTTCCGTCAGAGTCGCATTGGCAGAGGACCAGAGGCATTGGCGAACTGTTTTAAACAGGGTGGTTGATAAAATGATAATGTACGGGGGCATGGCGGGTGTACATGTCGCATTGTCGCTGCTCCAAGATGCCCATCCAGTTGTGCCGTGTTTCAGGCTCGGAGGGGTCCATCACATCCTACAGCAAAGCAAGCAACCGACGTGCAAGCCCCTCCCCATGGCAGCCCGGGCCCTCCCTTAGCTCAAATTCCTCTCTTGCGTGCGGCCATTTTGATGCGGAACTTGATCCACTTTGCGGCGCCATCTCTGCACATGCATTTGCTGGCTAGGCGCGGACTAGTTGACGCTAGGGCTCTGCAAAGGATGAGTTGTTCTTTGATGCGTCGAACTTTGTATTTGTGGACTTTGTAGGCATGAGGCAAGGGGCCTCAACCTTTTGGCAAAACATGCATGCTTTGTTTCATGAGCAAAAGCATTTCACGCCCTACGTACTTGCACGTGATCAATGGACACAATGTGAAGTCGCTAGCACATCGGCGATACATCATCTCTAGCTCCGTCATGAAGTACTATGATATGATTGCACAAGTGGAGAGAAGTGTCCACCGGACTCGTCAACCATGGAGATTATAAGTTTTTCTTCTTGTTGCTTTATATGTTGGTCAATTCATTGATCCATCCAATGTTGCAACTCGACAATCATCATGTTGTATAGCCCGGACGTGTTGTCGTGTTGTACGACAGAAGCGATGACATTCTATTTATATCCATACATTGTTAGATGAATTTCAAGGGGCATGGTGCGTGGATGACATGTACAAATTTTGACTCGGTCATCATTAAAATTGATGAGTTTTAAAAAATTGTTGAACATCCGGTTACGTCAAATATAATATCTATATTTAAATTATTGTTGTGCTATATAATTTCTACTATTTTAAGTATTGCGACCTTAGAGCATCTACACCCGAACCAGTCAAATCCTTCTCAAACTTTCGGGCGGACATCCCCCTCAGAATTAGCAATTGGTTGTACATGCTCTTAGCGTTTAGGTGACAGGGTTGGATAGACGGGTCCTTCATACGTGTCTGCAGATAGACAATGTGTGTTCTGACAAAAGCACAAATCTCTGCCGTTTAGCATTTTCATTTGATATTATCAGTTGCGTGTCGAATGGGTAAATGGCGGGACGTCCTGGTCGGAAAATCTCAGACGCAATTTTACCCCACCTGCTGTAATGACGAGTTGCAGTGATGAGTGATGATGCAACAGGGCGCGCAGAGGTTTGCTGCAAAAAATCGACGCATCGACAGCGAATATGATTGAATGCGTGCGCGCGCGTACGGGGGAACAACACATGCAAGTCGTGTTTGCTCGTGCTTTGTCACAGAGCTTTTCATCGGTGGGTGTCTGCACAACTCACTGATGGCATTGTCTTTTTTTTCCTCTTGTTGTCTGATGGCTGGTTGATGCACAAGTCAAAAGTGCAACTGCCCGGCCGGCTGCATCTTCTTGGTGCGATGCTAACAGTTAATTAAAAATGCGTTGTCTAGAAAGACGAAGATATAGGGTCTCGCGATCGAAAGTGCTCTTTTGATCCCGCGCCTCCCGCATGAACAGTAAAATATAAAAAAAATTAAAAGTCTAATTTTTTTTATAAACAATGATGAATGTTCTAACTGCGTGCAAAATTTCAGATCAAAATGACATTCGTAGAGGCCTGGGCAAAAATAACAAAATCGATGCTCCAAAATGCTTCCAACAATAGTCTTTTTGGGCCATCGATTTTATTCTTTTGCTCAAACCTCCACGAATGTCATTTCAACCAGAAATTTTGCACGCGGTTAGAAAATTTATTAATGTTCTTCACAAAAAAAAGATTATTTTGAATTTGTTTATACTTTAAAAAAATTACGTTCATGCGGGAGCATATGAGCTCGGGATCAAATACTCAATGTCCGTCTGGCGATCTATTCTACCTCTAGTTCAATTCCGTACGTGAGTCCTTTCCTCCCTCTAGGTCCATGGTCATAGATAGACTAGTAGCATGTATTTTTCTTGAACTAAGGAGTCTCGCACCGTGTATCGTGTGAATTTCAAGCACGTGTCAGAGCAAGTACAATAAGGTGATGTAGGCGGGCTATAAGACATTAAATATTATATTCTTGCTTACTTGGAAGAGAGAGAAGAGGAGAGAGAAGAGAAGCGGACTACTAGTTAACAGCCGGCTGCAGCACATGCTCCTAGGTACTTTGTGAGAGAGTGGGATAGCCATGTATCAACAAAGTAGTACATATTTATATCTAGCTATTGTACTTGTTGGCTATAAGCTTGACTATATGTGACATGGCAACATCATATAGTCAGCAGCTGGCTATATTATTAACCATGCTCTCACTCTCACTTGTTTTCAATCAGTTCTGTCACCGTTGGTCAGTGCACATTGGACGTACATTAGCGAAAAGAAAAATATATTCTTAAAGTGTCCTTCAGCCTAAACCAAGTTCGTCTTTCAGCAACATTTACTTTCGGCCATTAGTTAGTACGACAAAGTGTGAGATTAGTGGGCTATAGGGATAAATATAATCACCTCGCCTCGACTAACTAAGTGCGTGCTCCACACTCAATATGATACTCGAGGGCATCTACAAGAGGAAGTCTTAAATGTTGTTGCGTATTGTATCCATTTTACCTTTCTCACTCAACGTCTACATATTCAAGTACCCCGGAAATCTATTGCTTTCCACCTGAACTCTTGTCTATGCGCAATGATGCACGCTCTGATTTGTTCTATGTGCATCAAGGACAAGTAAACTATCTAGTTGTACATATTTTTTGAAGGATGACTTAAACTATTGTCCTTCCTTATTGGCGATACAAACCTTTTTTCTCCATCTTGGCCTTTCTAGGTCAAAAGATTCCATGGAGTGGTTAAGCTAGCTCGTTAGGGACATTGGGCATCATTGGCCACGCTGCCACGGTGCTGCCGCCTACGCCGAAAACTGTTTGTCTAACTAAAGCAGACGGCTGATTAGTCTTTTTTAAATGAAATATCCTTTTATTTATTAGTAATAATGGTTACATCGTTTATAAGAAAATTTACAATATCACTCATAGGTTCCTCAAACCAATCCCTTGTCTCAGAAAATTTAGCTACTCTAGCAATTTCATGAGCTATTTTATTTGCTTCCCTATTACAATGTTCAAATCTAACTAACGGAAAATCACAAGCCATAAAATAACAATCATCAAACACAGCCGCCGCCGCTCCCACTGTATGTCCTCCATTCTTCATTGTGTCAATTACTTCCAAATTGTCGGAGTTAACAACAAGTCGGTTGCTTCTCGCCTTTTGTGCAAGTAATATGCCAAAACGTAGTGCCATGGCTTCCGCTGTTAAAACATCTGCGCACCAATCCATCTTCCAATTCCCTCCCACAATAAATCTTCCTTTATCATCTCTAAGTACACACTAGTGCAGAACCGGGCTTTAGTGCCGGTTGGCGAACCGGCACTAAAGAGTGGGGACTAAAGACCCCCCCTTTAGTACCGGTTCGTCACGAACGGGCGCTAAAGTGCAAACACGTGGCACGAGCCAGGCCCGTGTGCGTGTAGGACATTAGTACCGGTTGGTAACACCAACCGGTACTAAATGTTTTTTTTAATTTTTGCTTTAATTTTGTGTTTTTAATTTGGCTTTATTTTCCATTTAATTCTTTTTCGTTTGCTGGTATTTCACGATACTACAAATTGTACACGTTATGCATATATATATTAAATAGATTTTCTCGTACGTAG